GGCATTCCTAGAGAGCCTTAAGGAATGCCTCCGATTCTATACTAATGACCCTCAGTCATTGGAAGGGAATGCAATCCTGAGGTGGTATTTCATTTCCCAAACTGCCCTCAACATTAGGTGTAAACTTCAGAAACCGAAAATACAGCCAGATACCCCTACCTCCTACCTGGTGGAGGTTGCCTACCATGTGTTTAGTAAGTGAGACGTAGAGGAGGAAAAGTCAGAGGATAAAAAGGCCCAGAGGCAAGCCTGCCTAGTGGCTGTTGCCCTCCAATATCAACTGGTTGACACGGAAATCTGAACTAAACACCCACGGAGACTCTCGACTCCAGTGAGTGACCTCTGGCTCGCCAGGATAGCAAGCCAAGGAAATTAGGACCCAATCAGTGTGCCATATGTAAACAAGAGGGACACTGGAAGGAAGAATGCCCTCACTCCCTCGAAGGGAGATGGAAATGGCAGATCCTGGTTACTATTCTCAAGAGCAGATGGTCCAAATAGATGAAGAATGATGGGGCCAGGGGCTCCTAAACTGGCACTCCAATTGACCCCCAAGGAGCCCAGACTGACATTGGACATAGGAAAAAAGCCCGTCAAATTCTTTTTTTTTTTTCGGTACGCGGGCCTCTCACTGTTGTGGCCTCTCCAGTTGCGGAGCACAGGCTCCAGACACACAGGCTCAGCGGCCATGGCTCACGGGCCCAGCTGCCCCGCGGCATGTGGGATCCTCCCGGACCGGGGCACAAACTCGTGTCCCCTGCATCGGCAGGCGGACTCTCAACCACTGCGCCACCAGGGATGCCCACCCATCAAATTCTTAGTCAACACTGTTGCCTATTAACTGGTTCTGAACACCAGATCAGGCAAACTCAGTCACAAGAGTTGTAAAATTATGGGGGTATCAGGGAAGGTCTAAGAACAGGCATTCATAGAGCCATTAGGATGTAAATTGGATGAACATATTCTCACCCATTCCTTCCCACACGTTCCCTATGTCCTATACCCCTGCTAGGAAGGGATATCTTATATAATCGGGAGCTACTATCCACCTAATGGGAGACAGACTGAAGACTGCTCTTCCCCTAGACAGGGAGCACAAGACAATAATGTTAATGGCTGAGGACAAACCTCCCAGGACAGAGCAGGTTGATCTCCCAGGAGTAAATCTCAAAGTTGGGGCCTAGGGATGGGTGGAACAAGCTATGGGAGCCAGTCCTGTGACAGTTCATCTAAAACCTGGACATCCATAGCCCAACAGAAAACAGTACACTCTCCATTGAGAGGCCTTATTGGGCATTGCCCCTGTTATACAGGGCCTAACTGACCACCCTTACTGGACCATGCCAATCAACCTGTAATACCCCTGTTCTCCCCATAAAGAAACCCGATGGGGAATACTGGATGGCAAGACCTCAGGGCAGTCAATGAAGCCACCAAAAATATACATTCAGTAGTTACCAATTCCTATGCCCTGCTGGGACTCTACTGTCCACCAGGACCCGGTAATGTGTATTAAATTGAAAAGATGCCTTCCTCTGTATTCCATTAACAATACCACTGGACAGTCCTGCCCCGAGGATTCAAAAACACCCCCATTGTCTTTGTGGAAACTTTAGCTAAAGACGACCTAAAAAATCTACATCCTGGAGGAGGCTTCCTTCCTCCAGTATGTAGATGACATTCTGACTGCTAGCTACACTAAGGAGACCTCTGACGAAAGTATTGTAACCACTCTGAACCACCTAGCTGATAAAGGATATAAGGTGGCCAAGGAAAAGGCCCAAATATCACAAACTAGGGTGACCCACCTAGGCTTCATTCTCACAGAAGGTCA